AGCACTCAGTGTGAGTCTGGGATCAAGGCTCAGCATGTGGGTGGGGTAAGAGCTTAATGCAGGACCAGGATCAAGGTTCAGTCGGTTCAGGATCAGTGCTCAGTGTGAGGCTGGGATCAAGACTCAGTGTGCAGCTGAGGTCAGGGCTCATTGTAGAATCAGGATCAAGGTTCCATTTGTCCCAGACCAGGGCTTAGTGTGGCGCTGGGCTCAGGTCTTAATGAGGAACATTTTCTGTCCCCCACTGTGAAAAGTCCAGGACTCTCTACCACCTTACCCATGGCTTTGAAAATAACACAGCCTGCCCCCCGGGGATCAGCGCCTGTCTCCTGAGCCCCTGCTGTGCCTGTCTTCTACCCTGGCGAGGCTGGTCCTGTGGTCCACTCCAGGCAGCTGTGCTGGGATGCCCAGGTTCCCTCTGCCCTAACAGAAGTGGCTCAGGCAGGGAAGCTCCTCCTGGCCTCCCAACCTGGCCTTCAAAAGCACGGCAAGGACAGTCAGCCTTTTAGCGTGAATGCCAGAGTGAAAAAGTGCTTTGTGGTTTATGTCAGATTTCCCAGTTATCCACACACTGCCCCATCCTGTTTGCCCAGGCGATCCAGTGCCAATGGAGGTAAACCCGGGTCCCGCTGAATATGAAGGTGAAGGTGTCGGTTGGCATGTGGTATTGAGGTGCACAACCCAAATACCTCCTCCCATCACGAGGCCTGAAGTCCCTTTTTCCCAAAAGAAGGAAGCAGAACAATGCCAGTCCTGACCCCTGGAGGGCTGAGTGGGCACTGTACTGGGGCCACCTCCATCCATCAGGCTTCTGTTTATCCCCGTGGACAGGCTCGACCCCGCGGCTCCTTGCTTTTAAGCCACGCTTGTAGATGCTCCTGCCTGACCCTCCACCCCGGTTCAGTTTTCAGCTCTCTGAGGGTATGGGCTGCTGGATCCCTGGCCCTGAGTGACCAGGCCTACTCACCCTCAAACCTCAGAAACAGGGGCCAATTCAGAGGCTGGCCTGGATGGGCATCTGAGCTGGGCTTGCCTCTGAGGACAGCAGGGTCAGGGCAGGAGGTGGCACCTGCCCCCGAGCCCCCCGCTCGCCCAGCCAAGCCCCCCTGCTATCTCTGTTACTCTCAAGCAGAGGGTCAAGTTGGTCTGCTGGCAAGACACATGGCTCTCATTTTAATTAATTAAAGAAAAATCTAATCACTGCATTAAACTTCTCATTACTCCACTTGAATACCCGTTAAGTAAATTTAATTACCAGAGGATTGAGTTTCCCAGCCTCTTTCATTAGCTTCTGATAAGATGGGGAGGGGGAGGGGAGAGGGCAGCAGTGGCAGAACAATGCCAGTCCTGACCCTGGGAGGGCAGAGTGGGCACGGTACTGGGGCCACTGCTAGCAGGCTTCAGTATTCCTTAGGGACAGGCTCAACCCTGGGCCTGGGGGAGACCCCCTGCCCGAGCTGCCCCTAAGGAAGCAAGGGCCTAGCATTGGCTGCAGTCAGCACGGAATGCTTGCTTTCCCACCACTGCTGGTTATTTATACCCCACCTCCCTCCAAAAGAATTGGAGGCTGCTGAGAGCCACAGGGGCTCCAGGACATGTTGCAGAGCAAAGGATGACATCAGGACAAAGGAAAAATAAGAGAGAAGAGGCCAGAGACAACAAGGTGATTGAGCAACCGCATGCCACAGCGTCCTGGGCACGTATCAGAAATGGGCCACAAACCGGCTGTGAGCTTCCTGGCAGTCAAGACAAAGAAAGCATTGCGCTTTGGTACTGATGCAGTGACCAGCAGAGTACTCATGAGGAAACACCCACTGGGCCTTGGTCTTTCACCTGTGAAAAGGGTGGAGCTGGAACATGGACTAATGCAGAAAACCACTGGTCAGAGCCATCAGCAGAGGCTTCCTGGAGAAGAAGGGACCTGAACTGGGCGTTGAAAAGCAGAAAGGGCCGAGAGTGAGGAAGGGCACGCTAGGCAGGGGAGTTGCAGGCTAAGGAGAGGAGAGACCGGGAATTACTGGAGGAGAAGCAGCAGGGGCGGAGGGCGAGTGCACAGCCTGGGTGTGGAAGAGCTTTCTTCAAAGGAGGGGCCAACGGTCCATCCCATCCCCAGCCCCCAGGTTGGCAGCCAGCCCCCTACGGTAGAAGGCGTCAGCACTCTGGGGCAGGAGGAGCAAAAGCCAGAGGAGACGACACACCTGGGAAGTCCAGATCCGGCCAGGCTGGGCCACAGGCTCTGCCTTCCTGCACTAAAGGCTGGCTGCCTAGATGCCCTCGATGGCCAGCGCACCACCCTGTCCTCCAGATGCCCAGAGGGCTGCTGCAGCTCGTGGCTCCCCCTTTTCCAGGGAACTGCCCTTCACAAATGGGGGCCACCTCACCTGGACAATCCAGACCCTCCCACAATGACTGATTAACACAGGGGCCCTTGCGGGGGCAGGAAGGGTAATTCTGTTGTGTGAATTATGCTCCAGGGTCCCCTGAACCAGCCCAAAGCCCAGCTTTGCCTGGGCTGTCATTCCTACCCGAGTCTCTTTTCTTCCTCCCTTCCCCCGAGGCCCTGCTCATCTCAGGTTCTGCCTCTAAGGGTTCTGATCTACGATACTCCTCAGCAGCTCCTTCCAAGTTCATAAAAACAAACAAACATTCCCAAATCGGTGACATCCCAAACTTCCTGGAGAGGGAAGCAGGGAGGGGAAGGGAACGGGATATACTGAGAACCTGCTAGATGTCAGTGCTTTCTATGCGTCATCTCAGGTAGCTCGCTCAGCATCCCTTCCAGGTGAAGTTCATTATCAGGTGAGGAATCTGAGGCATAGATTTGTCCAAGGGCACACAGCACGTCCATATCCATCTAGGACACCATCTAGAATAATTACCTGTTATATGGCTTCCCTAGTTGGGGAGGGGTCTCCCTTCTCCTGTCAGCCGGATCCCAACATTCCTTTGGGAAACACTCACCCCTCATTCCTGGTCACATGGTTGGGGAAGGACGACCCTGAGCCCCAGCATGTTTCTAAGTCCCGGGCACCCAGTTAAGGGTTCAGGATGAGCCGAATCCTGCCAATAGGATCCCGAGATCAACTCGGGGACTTTGATTTGTTGTGTCAGGGAAGACTTTAAGACTTTGTCTCCACCCCCAACCCTAGATCTAAACCTAGAAGCATGTTACCCCAGAAACTGCTGCCAGGCATCTTTTGACCATGCCATGCCAAACGCCACTAAGCATGGAACCATCACCAAGAAGAGGAATGAAGGGATACAGACAAAAACAAGGTCCTGCTTGCACTGTCTGAACCACTAGATCAAGCCCTGCCTGAAGCCCATATTATCACCAAACACATTGGTTACATGAGCTGATAACTTCATTTTAATGAAGTAGGGTTTGTTTTCGTTTTTGTTCTTTGCTACTTACAATCAAAGGGATCCTGACAGATACAGTGTACAGAAAGGTTTCCTTCTTGTTCTGAAGACTGAGAAGGCTTGGATATCCCCAGGAGCCAGGGAACAGGTACAGCGGGGATGTCACCTACCGTGACTGCTGCTGTGTCCCGCTGGGTCCCAAAGCTTTCGGAGTCCCTTTGGCCCAGGTCGGGGTCAGGAGTAGGCTTGGGAGCTGGTCCAGGAGCTGGATAGTGAGAGCCCTGGAGATGCAGGCTGAAGGCTGGGCAGCCCCACAGACTCAAGGGAGCCAGGTTATGGTCATAAGATCCCTAGAAAAGAGGAGAAACAAGAGTGAGTGGTAACGTTCACAAGGGCCCGAGGGGTACAGGAGGAAGGGCAGATGGCGGCCACACCTTGAGGAACGTGAGACCAAAGGAAGAACCCCGGAAGTATCTCTAGACCAAAACTGTTCAGCGGAAACTTCCGTCACGACGAAAATGTTCTGCCTCTGCCCTGTTTGATATGGCAGCCAGCAGTCACATGTGGATACTGCAGTGTGGATAGTGTGATAAAAAGCTGATTTTTAATTTTGTTTTATTTTAATTAATTTGCATTTAAATCTAAACAGCCACATGTAACTAATGGCTACCACGCTGGACAACACAACTCCGGATCAACCCTTGCCTACCTCTTGGACACAGTACCTGGGAAAACCTGAGATCCAGAGAGAAGGGACTTGCTCGGGGTCACACAGTGAGAGGGTGGCAAAGCCAAACGCAGTCCTCCAACTCCCAGCCCCGGTCCTCCTCGGTACCCACTGCCCTCCCGCCGTGGCCTTGTGTCTTCCCGTCATGCTCATCACTAGCAGAGTGTCCTGCAGCCCTGAAACCCATATGCCTCCCGGGGGAAGCCATGTCCCTGGGGAAGGGTATCAGGCCACACTTGAAGGGACCGATCTCCTCCAGTCACTGCCACTGGACCCTCCCTCAGCCCCCCTAGCAAAGCAGCCCCATGGAATGTCCTGGGATCGTCCAGGAAAACTGCACTCAGAGGGGAAGCCTCTCGGGCACAGAGCCATTCCCCATAGGGTTATTTATACCAGCAAGACACTGCAGGCTGTCTAAACACTCCACAACAGAGATGACAGAGTGAGTCACGGCACTCCTACCAAGAGAGTATTACACAACCGTTAAAAATGATCAACGCAGAGACAGGCAGTGAGGCCAAGTAATGTTTCCGTGATAATAATGAGGTGGGAAGCTGAGAACATGGGTGCAGGTGGGGGCTGGGTTGTGGGGTGTACGAGGCTCCCGCTCACTGAGCCCGTCCGTCACCCCCACCCACGCTGTGGCATCGTGGGGTGCAGATTACCCAGTTTACAGGTGGAGGAGCCAAAGCTTAGAAAACCAACCACACACATGCTCCTGGCTCCATGGGGAGTGTGGGCCGAGCTGGGCCTTGAACCCTTGATTTCTGATGCCAAAGACAGACTTCTACAGCTGCCCTTTGTGCCACGATGGCAGCATCACGCTGCCCTTTCCTTCTTACTTACTCATCTTACATAAAAACATACGCACAACGCGCTTATTAAGTGCCAGGGACCTTCCTCAGTACGTGACAAATTAAAAGGTAACTCATGGAATCTGCACTGGGTGAATCAGCAATTATTACCTCTATTGTTTGGACGAGGAAACTGAGGCACAGAGGGATTAAGTAGCACAGAGGGACTACTTCTACTTCCCAAATATTCTGCAAGCCTCTAGTACTGGCATCAAAGGAAACAGACAAGGGGGTGGGGCTGGGGGCGGGGATCGGGGTGGGGGCGGGGTTGGGAGGGAGTGGTTGTTGCCCTGGAGGAGGGGAAACAGGGATGGAGGGTTTTTCTCCTTTTTAGTTTCATGGCAATTCTTTTTTATAACAATTGAATGAAAAAAGTTCAAGAAGTAAAATACAGGTAGCAAGGAAAAGGTTTTTGAAAACAACAAGCTCAAAAACGAAAATTAAAACTTCTCAAATTGAAGTCACGGATGCATCCAGGAGACCTCGACTGTGAATGTAATACACGTCCCAGCAGCAAAGCTCCTGTCCCCAGGCTTTTCTGCCAATTTCCTGACCTGGGACCACTCCCTCCTGCCTGGGTGAGATCCTCACCTCCGAGGGCAGCAGGGAGCAGCCCTGTGTGGAGGTAAACTTCAATCAACACCTCATGGCTCCCTCCCGGCTCTGGGGCCCCGGCTGCCTGCAGGACGCCGTGGTATCTCTAGCCCCAGGCAGCCCCATTCCACAGGTGGAGCAACGGAGGCCCAAAAGATGAAAGACTTCACCAGAGGTCACAACGCTACTGAACATGAAACGCCTGTGTGTGTGTGTGTGTGTGCTTGTGAGTGTGCATGAACGTGGCCTACAGGGGCACGTGTCTCCCATGCAGGCAGTGCTTCAGGCTCAGGTGATTAAAAGGGCAGGTGATTCCCAGCTGACACACCCACGTGCACACACGCATACACACGCACACACAAAACTGTCATATCAACTGCTACTACAGCGACGATGACATCAACTGCTATTTCTTCCTGATTTCTGTGGTAGTTTTCATTCATGCGTCAAACACTGATTTAGCACCTACTATGTGCCAGGTATACTATAGGGGCTAGGGTTCACTGGGGTACAACACAGACAAGTCTGGTACTCTCATGAGGACAGGGGGTACCGATGATAAGGAGATACATAAACAAGGTAATTCCAAATTGTGACAGGCAGTAATGATCATAAAACCCGGTAATGTGAAGGAGACCTGGGCTGGGGCTGGTGGGTCACTCAAGCTACAGGAGCAAAGAAAGTCTTTCCAAAGCAGTCTCACTGGCATTAATTCTGCGGGAAACGAAGCTGCAGTGGGGGGCTGGGGCCCTGAGGGCCAGGGAAAGGGCTTCGGATTCCCTCCCAAATGCAATGAAAAGTAACAGGAGGGTTTTAACCAGGGAAGTGCTATGATGCTTTCTTCATTGTTAACAGTTCTCTCGAGCCGCCAAGTGGAGACTGAACTCCAGGAGAGCAGGCCTGGGGCAGAGGACCCGTGTCACAAAAGCCCAAGATCAAGGAGACAGGCTCAGCCAGGGTGATGGCACAGAGAGCGAGGAAGCAGGCAGACTCGGGCAGTGTGTTGTGGCAGAGCCAGCTGGCTGATGAGTTGGATGTGAGGGGGTGGGGGTAAGAAAAGGAGAGCAATGAAAGAAGATTCCTAGAGCGTCTACGCAGACAGGGACCGCTTTTACAACCAGACTCCACCCCCCTTAAAGGAGCCTCGGGGACCTGATCAGGACTTCCGGTCCCTGACGAAGAGACTTGGCATGCATGTATCCGAGGAGAAGAGTCCAGGGACAGAGATCTCTGCTCAGCATGAGAAGCAGTGAGCTCCCTGTCCCTGGAGGTATGCAAGCAGAGGTCTGAGGACCATGTGCGTTGGGTGGGCATTTGCACTCAACAGGGAGGTTGATTTCTGCCGTGAGTGTCTTTAATTCTGTGAATACATGAATCAGGGCCAGATTGTGTGGCTTGGAGTAGGTGTTACAGAGACTTGGGAAAAAGGCAATATCCAGCATAATAGTTATTATTATTAGGACATTACACATCACAGAACGCTCCCACTGATTCTCCACCTGGATCTGTAGCCCACGTTGTGAGGCGGATGGGGCAGCATGATCAGCCCCACCCAGCAGATGAGGAAACGGGCCCGGAGAAGGAGTGGGATCAGCCTCGGATCCTCTGCGGCCTCACACCTAAGGACCTTCTCCCCTCTTCATCCTCAGTAGTCACCCCGCCACCCCTGCCCTGGAAGATGCAGGAATCTCCCCACTCCACATGGGCTTCCATTCAGCTGCCAAGACTCCCATCCCTGCAGGTTAGAGGCACTCTCTGCCTTCTGACCTGAAACTTGAGAGGGAGGTCTCCGCCTAGAAGCCTTCCCCTCCTTGATACACAGGGCCTGATCCTCCACTCTGTCCCCTTTACCCCTGGTGGTTTGGCCACAGCCCCTTAAGTTGGTTCCTTCAAATCAGACCAGTACCAAACACTAGGCTTTGCCCAGAAATGAAGTAAGGTAGTGTCCCTCCCACAAGGCGCCTTTCTTCCCTAACGCGGCTGCTGTGGGCCAGGGACAGCCAGAACCCCCCTGACCACCTTCCCCTTTCCCACCAGACAGGCAGAGAGGGCATCTGGGCAGACAGGAGCAGCAGGAGGTGGGGTGTCCCCAGGGGGACTGGGATTGCAGGTGGGGAAGCTGCCACACACTGGCACAGCATACACTGAACACCGCCCTGACAGACCTCAGCATAATCTTAGGGGCCAAGTGGGAGCATCTCACTTCTCAGGTGACGCAGTGAAACCCGGAGAGATGAAGGAACTTGTCCAAATTCAAAATATTAAATGGAAAGAAACAGCTGGTAAGTGTTGGAGCCAGAATTTGAACCTGGGGCTCACTGGTTCCAAAGATCTGATGCCGTCCCCTGCTCCCTGTTGCCTCGCCGAAGTGCCAGGCAGTTTGAACAGCCAGTCCGGTGAGCAGATAGCATGGGCAGGGGGAGGCGGAGAGAGGCGGTGGTGGCGTGGCAGCGGCAGGGTGGGGGAGGTGAGACAAAGAAACGGAGACAGAGACGCTGAATGAACAAGGGAACCCTGCAGGGGCCAGAGAAGCAGCTCCGGAAGCCACCGTCCTGATCAGTGCAGGGCCCGAAAGGCCACCTGGTGCCATCTGCCCCTCAGATCTAGCCACTAGTGTTCCCTGGGCTCATCCCCACCTGCTCAGGCCCAAGGAGCCCCCCCAGCCATTGACAGTGCTCCCCAGTCATTAAAGGCATCCCGGTGTTGAAGGGCCCAGGTCAGGCCCCTCTGGGCCAGCTCTGGGGCAGGGAAATGGGTCGAGGAAGTAGGGGGAACAGTTCTGGCCTTGGGCAAGGCCGTCTGCCCAGCCTCCACCTGCCTCAGCCTGGCTGCACTGTCCAGCTGCCCAGGCTGCCCACCATCCCCAGCCGATCTGTGGCTGAGCTCTGAGCTGACCAGGTGTTCCCGTGGCCGCCTGGCAGCCCAGCACTATCCGCCTGTCCCCAGAGCATGCAAGGTTTAAGCAACAGTCTTTCCACTGAACATTTAAGAAGAAAAATATCTTTTTTTTTAAGAAAGAGAAAGGGAGGGAGGAGGAAACTGGCAAGGGAGGAGAAGGGAAGGAGGGAGGGAGAAACCTACCCCATCACTGCAGTCAAGGTCACAGGCACCGTCACAGGGCGGGCTGGGCAAGGAGCCTTTAATCTGGAGTTCAGGCCGAGGAAACTACACGCTT